AATCAAAGAAAGCTTAGAAAGAACTCCCATGTGCCGAGAGTATTGGAGACGCATTAAATATAATTCGAAATTACTTAGCTGAAAACTAATTATGCAAATCAGAAAATTAATATGAACAGATTTGAGTGTAAAACTAATGAGGTCTGCGCAATGTAACAGAAAATCTATGTTTCCAAGTTTAATTGAAATGTGATTAGAACCAAAAAATTATGAATTATTATGCTTATTAGGGAATTAATATGAACAGATTTTTACCCCAAACTAATTAGGTTTGTACATTGTCCTAGAGCATCTTTGTACTAAGTTTCATTGAAATGGAATAATTAGTACTTTAGATATCAGTGTGAAAGCTTAAAATTGGTTAATTATGCAAATTAGGTAATTAATGTACAGATTTTCGCCCACAATTATCCAGGTCTGTCTATTGTCCTACAGCATCCATGTACATTCATTGATATGTGATGTTTAGTACCCGAGATATCAGTGTGAAAGTTGGTTAATTATGCAAATTAGGTGATTAATATGCACAAATATTTACCGGAAACTAATTGGGTCTGCATAATTCTAGATTCATTGAAATGTGATGATTAGTACTTTAGATATCAGTAGAAAAGCTGAAAATTAATTATGCAAATTAGTTAATTAATATGCACAATTATTTGCCCTAAAACTAATCAGGTCTCTGCATAGTCCTAAAGGATCTATGTACCAAGTTTCATTGAAATGCGATGATTAGTACTTGAGATACCCGTGGAAAAGCTGAAAATTAACTAATTGCAAATTAGGTGATTAATATGCACAAATATTTATGAAACAATCAATCTCTGCATAGTCCTTGAGTATGTAAGTACCACGTTTCATTGAAATGTAATGCTCATTACTTATATCAAATGCTGAAAATTAATTATGCAAATTAGGTAATTAATATGTACTGATATTACCATAAAAACTATCAGGTCTGTACAGTGTCATATGACATCTATGTACCAAGTTTCATTGAAATGTGATGATTAGTACTTGTATCAAATGCTGAAAATTAATTAATTATGCAAATTAGGTAATTAATATGTACTGATATTACCATAAAAACTATCAGGTCTGTGCAGTGTCATATGACATCTATGTACCAAGTTTCATTGAAATGTGATGATTAGTACTTGAGATATCAGTGGAAAAACAGAAAATTGACTAATCATTATGCAAATTAGGTAATTAGTATCCACGGATTATTACCAAAAAGTAATCAAATCTGCGCATATGTTCAGAGCATCTATGTACCAAGTTTCATCAAAATCCAATGAGTGGTTCTTTAGATATCAGTGGAACAGTCATAGAACAGCTAAAAATCAGCTAATTATCATGCATATTAGGTAATTAACGAGCATGGATTTTTACCAAAACTTAATCAAATATGCGCATTGACCCAGAGCATCTATGCACCAAGTTTCATCAAAAACCAATGTATGGTTCTTGAGATAGCAGTGGAACAGTCGGACACACATACACACATACACACACACACACACACACACACACACCCATACACACACACAGACACACTAACTGCAAAGACTCCCATTATGTGCTTCGCACATGGGAGTCAAAAAGCGTGTAAATGAATAAAGCTTCACATCTAATAAGTTTTTTTTCACTCATTAAAGCTTAAATGGCAGCAGTCGTCATGCCGTGTCCTGTTCGATCTGGGACTCATAGCGACGTATACAACGCGTGTAAAATACATTGTTTATTTACATGATATTCGAACACGCATTGCCCGACGACAA